AGTTGAATTTTTATAGTTGTATATAACATTTTGCATATTAGTAATTACCTTAAGAGTTAAATTATCTTATAAAATTTAGAGTTGAGGTTTGTATTCTTTATATAATTTAAAAGTTAATTTGATTGAATACTGATTCAAAATTATATTAAAAAAATCTCCATTTCAAATGACTCTTTATTTTTAAGTTTCTTTGATAGCTAATTCGAAATATTGTTAAGTTCAGAATCTTTTTGCAATTTCTAAGTATTTTCCCTGATATATAAAATAATTTATCATTGATTATGTAAACATCTCTCAAGTTATTGTTAACTTATATAATAGCCAAATTTAATAAAGTTTGTTTAAATAAGTTGAATGCTTCATTTTATTATTTTAGAGTTATCAGATTTTATCATTAATCTGAAGTGTTTTCTGATGTATTAAGTCTTTTTCTTTTTAAATTTTATTTTATCCTCTTAAATTTTTCTAATTACTAATTAGAATGATCATATTATTAAATTAGATAAAAGTCAAATCAAAGATTTCTGTATCAATAATTTTATATAAAAAAAAATATTCAAGGACTTCGTTTTTATTCATCACTAAAAATCATTTAGTGTTTGTTCATAATTGCTATAATAATGGCTTTAAACCAAATAACAGATTTCATTATTTAAATTTAATCAATTTAAAGCAGAATCTTTATGAAGGTAACATTTTATAAATAGGATTTCTTCTAATGAAAATTTAGTCTATTTATATTTAAATACTAAAAAATTTAAATGAAAATAAAATTTTACTGAGTTTTAATTTAGCTCTTAATTGCCAAAAAGATTATATTCATGAATTTCAGATAAAAAATATAAAGAACTATTAGCAAAATTTAAAACTCCATTATAAAAATTGAATTAACTACCCGAAAATGGTATTTATTTATTTTTATTTAGTTATGAATTATTGAAAACTAATTATTTTCTCATCTCATCCCATCTACCCACCTTTCTTCCATTTTTATATTTACCGCTATAGATGACTTAATTATCACTTAAGTAATATAGACAGACTTAAATACTATTTGAAAATATCACTAATTTCAACCCATCTTCCACTTTCATAATATTACTAATCAAAAATTCCTCCACCACTATAAAAAAGTGATAAAAATGTTTTAGTTATATTTAATAAAATGAGGTGTTTCTATTTTCTCTCCCAAGAATATCTGATATCCCAAAATATTTCCCATCTCTATATTCACAATAAAATATGCATTAATTTCTGCTAAAATATCAATAAATGTCTAAACTTTTCATAATTTTCGCTAAACTCAATCCATTTCCCAATTTTTAAATTATTTTCAGAATAATATCCTCCTCCTTAATCATCAAATAAGCCACCACCACTAATATTTAAAAAGTTGTCAATTTATATACATTTGTTCGAATTCATTGATTTCATAATAATTTCTCCAACTACTAAGACCAACCTTATTGCCATTCAGATATTGACCACTAAATATAGATTAGTTGTAACTAAAAAGAATTATGAATAATTTATCTATTACTCCAAGAAACCATCGCATACCTCAACCCAAATTCCATTTTTCATATTTTTCTCATTAAATGAACCACCACCACTAATAGATGAAGATTAATATAATTATTTTAGATACATTTATTCAAAAACATTAATTCCTTATGGAATCTTCCAATTTATATCCAATTTGCCAATTTTTTGACCATTTTCATATTAACCTTAATAAATGACTTAACTTAAACTAAAAATATGAAAATATTAAAACTCCCAAAAATTTTTGCTTAAAGTCCTCCAACAACCAGACTTTTAGCCTAAGTTGTTATAGAATCCACCACCGCTGAGTTAAAACCTTAATATTATTATAATACATGTTTGTGTCTCTGTAGATATACATCCGATCTTCACATTTTCTATTATTAGTTTTAAAATGGAATAAACATAAGGACATTATTACTGAAATTTTTTTGGTTTTGTTAACAACACCTAAGAAAAATAAATTTTAGTTTAGAATTACCTTTTTATAAATATTTGATTTATTTAAATTAGAAGAAAAGAAAAATTAAATCACTTTCAAATTGGAATACTATTAAGATGTCCCAAAATCAATATATGATGATGATGTAAGAACTAAATAAGTGTTGATCACTTTAATTGGTTATTAAATTAAAGCCAATTCAGAGCACAATAGTGATTTATGAAAGTATTCTCTTAATATATTTTTTATAGATTGGGTGTAGTGAGAGTATATTAAGTTAAGTAAATTAATTTAATTTATTAACAATTAAATTGCTATTAGGCAATTTTAAGGAGATAAAATTTAAAAAATAAAAAACACCTTAAATTTAGGTGAAAAACATAAATTTGATGTATCTGACCATTAATTTGAAAGTTGGGTAAATGGCAACTTAATGATAAAATAACTCTCAGATTTTACCAAATTATTTAAGAAATTAAAAAATTTTTTTTCCATTCATTTATATACAGAATTTGATGTATTAAAAATGGAATGCTTGAGATTGGTTAAAAATATTTTATCATCATAAATATCAACTATATCAAATATTATTAATTATTTTAAGTATATAATAATATAATTATTTTCCTTAATAATTACTATTTACCTTTAGAAATAAATAATTATTTATAAGTTGATAATATTTAAGATAAATGCAACTTTGTTTTATCATTAAAATAATATTCATTTTTTTGTATATTAGTTGAAATTATAATTAAAAATATAAAATTATGTATTTAATTTTTTGTCCATTAAAATTTTTTTATGCACTTAATTATTTCTTTATTAGAATTTCTTCTAATTATTAAAAGGATTAATTATAAATTAAATATTTAATTTTTACAACTATTATTAAACAATAATGTTAATAATTAAGCTTACTTATTAATATTCTTTGAAATAACATTCTGAATACGTTCCATATCTTTTAGATCTTGATTTATTTATTATTTGGAAGAAAAAATGTGACAGTGCTAATAAAAAAGCTCTGAATAACAATAAATCTAATGAACCTAAATATTACATATATTTGCCTATAGGAAACAGAGTTATTTTTATTAATAATCATAATTCCTTTAGGTTATCAATAATTAAGGTATTTTAAGAATGGTCAATCTATAAATAAAATAAAAATAAAATAATCATATCAAGAATATTGATTGTGAATATTAATTCTATTTCCCTATTATATATAATAAAAATAGGAATTTCTTATTAATCAAACATAAACATCATATCTATCTAAAACGGTAATTAGATAATTGAAAATTTATTACTTAATCAACTGTTCATTGTGGAACATAACGTAATTATGACAAATGATGGATAATATTTAATATTTTGGGATTAAAAATTAAAGAAATATTCAAAATATTAAATTATAAGAGTATGAATGAATAAATTAATGTACATTTACATCTATAAATAAAATATAAGCTTGTTAGATCTATAAATATCTCAAGAATACTATTCAATTTTAAGAATAAATAGGTGAAATTATTAAAATAATAAGGAAAAAAAAAATAATTACTTTCTCAACTTCTTCTTATTATTTATTAACTGAGCATCACCGCTTATCTCTTTATATTGATTTATGAAGATACTTAAACATACTTGTAAAAATTATATCAAACTTTTAAGGTAAATTCTAAAAAGGATCGATAGGAATCTCAATAATAGAAAATAAAGGATATTTACTTTATAATACTAATTTATTTTCTTAAACTATGTAATTAAAGATTAGATCGATCAATATTAAAATAATTTGAGATACAATTATTAAATTTATAAATA